TATATATATATATACACACACACACACATACACACACATAAATCTATATATAAAGATTACCTGAAAGTTCTGCAGCCTGTCAGTTTCCAAAATATTGGCCATTATGCTTGTTCTTGAAGAATTAGGAGAAAATCCTTCCCAAGGAGGAACAAATATTAGTTTGGTGCACTGGACAGGAACAAAGTTCCGGCTGAGTTTCTCCCACCAGAAAGATCCCAGTGACCACCATCTAATCAGTAGTCCATGTTCGGAAAAAGCCACCAGCCCCTAACAGTGAAGAATATTGGGGTATAGGTGGGAAAGAAATATCAGTTTGAGATGCTGACAATAAGTACCAATCTTGAAGCAAATAGATCGATAAAGAAGAAACACTATTTGGCATAAAATAGGCAGAAATTAAAGGCGCTATTAATAATCAGGGAAAAGAAAATACTAGCAGCACATTCTCTAATATTCTTGAACACACTGTTATTCGTTGATATTTATTGAAAATCAAATTATTTTGAGGGTTCCATATCTTATTTAATAAGTTCAGCTCCTTATTTTGTAAGCAATAATAGGTAATGTGTTATAGAAAGTGTAGCACTTTTGTTAGGAATCTTTTTATTTGACCAGAAGGGTAGGAACTAAAGAATTTACCCCTTTCTTGATCATTACTTCCTAAAAGTTCACAAATATTCTTTCTCCAATAGAAAGAGTTTGGATGTTCGTGTAATCCTGATCCTTGCAGAGTGCAGAGACTAAAGCAAACCTTCGCAAACTTCCTAATAATATCCATACAGAACATGTTTTTGGAACGAATTGGAAATTATTACCCCTAAGCTCTGGTGCATGGTACACATACTCCGATGCATTTCTCCTTCTGAATAAAAAATAAACAAGTTTTCAAACATTTTCTTTTAAATTCGAAGTGTATGTTCCAGCAGAAAACAACAATCCAGCCTTTCCTCACCAGAATGGGTCAACTCCATGGATCAAATGATTTATGACGCTATAATGTTCTGTAATGATTCTACCCTATAGGCACTATGCTCATACAAGAGTGTTTTCTCTGGTTAACAGTGCACTCAGATTTTTGGAAAAGAATATATGTGAAAGAAAGGTTTTCATCTTATTAATTGGTCCAATCAAGTAAAGTGAACCAATGCGAAAAGCTTACTCAAATCATAAAAAACAATATAGTGAACGAAAATGGATGGGGGAGCCACAAGGAAGTCTGTCAGGAACATTGCTCTTCTGAGTAGTCAGTAATTCCCAACTGAATTTATTAATCACATTATCACAGCATACATATGATCTGAAACCAGTAGCAGCCCATATTTCGGTCACAGATATATCAGAGTTTATAGTTTGTTTAATATAATTAAGATTCTGAATAAGATCAAACCTTTAGATATATAATTATTAGGTTAGGTAATCCAAAATCTGCTAAGTAAATCATATCATGAAACACCAAGTAGTCAAGGTTTTTTATCAGCAAAATTTGTCAGTACCTCTCCATCTGGTGAAAAGCTCAGTGCTGAAATAGCAGTGGTCAACATTGTTCCTGATAATGATGCTGGGAGTAGAGTTGGAAGTCCAGGAGGCCCACTTGCATCTAAAACCTTTATCATTGTCACACTGCATAAAAAACGAAGGCTCTCCATTTAGGAAACTTTTATCTCCAGATATCTAAGAGACAAGAAACACATGACAACATTTTGAACCAGAAATTTCAAAAAGGGAACCATAGAAGTGCGAAAGAAAAGAAGAGAACAAGTTATACATGCCATTATCGTATAAAATGGGAATGTAGGTTAGGTCGAAAATAAATTTCTAATTCATCTTATCAAACCTTAAAAGTTCTTAAGAAATTGTCTATATCACCATAGCCTAACCATGGTAATGATGGTACTAATTATAAATTATCATTTTAGTCACATTATTTGAAAATGAAAATTAAAACTGTCACAATGATTTACAAATGCCACCGTACGTATTAGATCTGGTGATTTTCTCCATCATTCTCTGAATATGATGTTGAAGAATACCATCAAAGCAAAAAAAAAAATACCAGTCAGCTACTTAGGATAAAATCAGGGGTAAGACTAAGCAGCAAGTATACAACGTCATGTTAGGCAACACTATATATTTTGGCGTCTTAGCTAGACTGACACCTTGTTTTTCACCCCTTTAAATATATTATTATTGTTATTTTTTCCCTTCAAATTTTTAATTAATTCTACTAGGTGCTTCTAATGGTTTTTATTTCTTTGATCTTCCCACCCTGCATATAATATATAAATGGCATAAAATCAAGTGCACTTCTCTCAAGTACAAGAGAGACAGAAATTGGAGGATATTTCAACATTTCAGACTGAACGCATTCTGAAATCAATAATTACAATCTATATCTGAATCCTAATACCTTTGCATATCATAAACCCTGATGTTTGCGTTGTTAACTTCTCTAATCACATCTCCAACTGCTAGTTTGGTCCATGAATCATTGACAGCCACCATGGGATATACACGTACAAGTTCCTTGAAAGTTGTCATTGAACTTTGGAAGCATGCCTTCCGCATGACTGAGTTGCTAGGATCTATAGTCTGTAAAATGAAGTTGACCACCTGCAGATCTGACGCACTGTCACAAAAATTCATGCTTCAATGTTTCAAAACAAATAAGCAGTATGAATTTAAATCTAATGGGGAAGACAGAAATACTAGAAAATCATATGTTTCAGTACGAACAGATGATAGCCTCTCAAAATACAAGAATCAGTCTGCTCCCAACCGTCAGGAATAGAAAAAGAACAGAAATAAGTAATGAAAGAGATAAGAATAGGAAATTCATTATAAGAAAGTACACAAAATAAAAATGAAACAAATGCATATCTAAAATGAAGAACTGAAAGATACTGATAAGGTTCAGTTTGCACAGCATAAATACCAAATAGTTCAAGCTGTCAACATTAGTATATAAGTAAGAAAACTACAACAAAGGTTTTTCCCGCTAGTGAGATTAGTTACATGGATAAAAGGATACCCTGATGTTTTGTCTCAAATCATGCCTGTTTGTTAACCTTTAAACCTTTCTTGATCATACTTGAAAAGAGAATGAATTTTATTATAATCATTCATATCTATTACATTCTCCTTACACCTATTTGTAACAATCTAATCTTCCAAAAAAGAAAAATAAGAAAACAATATACTAAAAAACAATCTNATATATATATATATATATATATATATATATATATATATATATATATACACACACACACACATACACACACATAAATCTATATATAAAGATTACCTGAAAGTTCTGCAGCCTGTCAGTTTCCAAAATATTGGCCATTATGCTTGTTCTTGAAGAATTAGGAGAAAATCCTTCCCAAGGAGGAACAAATATTAGTTTGGTGCACTGGACAGGAACAAAGTTCCGGCTGAGTTTCTCCCACCAGAAAGATCCCAGTGACCACCATCTAATCAGTAGTCCATGTTCGGAAAAAGCCACCAGCCCCTAACAGTGAAGAATATTGGGGTATAGGTGGGAAAGAAATATCAGTTTGAGATGCTGACAATAAGTACCAATCTTGAAGCAAATAGATCGATAAAGAAGAAACACTATTTGGCATAAAATAGGCAGAAATTAAAGGCGCTATTAATAATCAGGGAAAAGAAAATACTAGCAGCACATTCTCTAATATTCTTGAACACACTGTTATTCGTTGATATTTATTGAAAATCAAATTATTTTGAGGGTTCCATATCTTATTTAATAAGTTCAGCTCCTTATTTTGTAAGCAATAATAGGTAATGTGTTATAGAAAGTGTAGCACTTTTGTTAGGAATCTTTTTATTTGACCAGAAGGGTAGGAACTAAAGAATTTACCCCTTTCTTGATCATTACTTCCTAAAAGTTCACAAATATTCTTTCTCCAATAGAAAGAGTTTGGATGTTCGTGTAATCCTGATCCTTGCAGAGTGCAGAGACTAAAGCAAACCTTCGCAAACTTCCTAATAATATCCATACAGAACATGTTTTTGGAACGAATTGGAAATTATTACCCCTAAGCTCTGGTGCATGGTACACATACTCCGATGCATTTCTCCTTCTGAATAAAAAATAAACAAGTTTTCAAACATTTTCTTTTAAATTCGAAGTGTATGTTCCAGCAGAAAACAACAATCCAGCCTTTCCTCACCAGAATGGGTCAACTCCATGGATCAAATGATTTATGACGCTATAATGTTCTGTAATGATTCTACCCTATAGGCACTATGCTCATACAAGAGTGATTTCTCTGGTTAACAGTGCACTCAGATTTTTGGAAAAGAATATATGTGAAAGAAAGGTTTTCATCTTATTAATTGGTCCAATCAAGTAAAGTGAACCAATGCGAAAAGCTTACTCAAATCATAAAAAACAATATAGTGAACGAAAATGGATGGGGGAGCCACAAGGAAGTCTGTCAGGAACATTGCTCTTCTGAGTAGTCAGTAATTCCCAACTGAATTTATTAATCACATTATCACAGCATACATATGATCTGAAACCAGTAGCAGCCCATATTTCGGTCACAGATATATCAGAGTTTATAGTTTGTTTAATATAATTAAGATTCTGAATAAGATCAAACCTTTAGATATATAATTATTAGGTTAGGTAATCCAAAATCTGCTAAGTAAATCATATCATGAAACACCAAGTAGTCAAGGTTTTTTATCAGCAAAATTTGTCAGTACCTCTCCATCTGGTGAAAAGCTCAGTGCTGAAATAGCAGTGGTCAACATTGTTCCTGATAATGATGCTGGGAGTAGAGTTGGAAGTCCAGGAGGCCCACTTGCATCTAAAACCTTTATCATTGTCACACTGCATAAAAAACGAAGGCTCTCCATTTAGGAAACTTTTATCTCCAGATATCTAAGAGACAAGAAACACATGACAACATTTTGAACCAGAAATTTCAAAAAGGGAACCATAGAAGTGCGAAAGAAAAGAAGAGAACAAGTTATACATGCCATTATCGTATAAAATGGGAATGTAGGTTAGGTCGAAAATAAATTTCTAATTCAAATTATCAAACCTTAAAAGTTCTTAAGAAATTGTCTATATCACCATAGCCTAACCATGGTAATGATGGTACTAATTATAAATTATCATTTTAGTCACATTATTTGAAAATGAAAATTAAAACTGTCACAATGATTTACAAATGCCACCGTACGTATTAGATCTGGTGATTTTCTCCATCATTCTCTGAATATGATGTTGAAGAATACCATCAAAGCAAAAAAAAAAATACCAGTCAGCTACTTAGGATAAAATCAGGGGTAAGACTAAGCAGCAAGTATACAACGTCATGTTAGGCAACACTATATATTTTGGCATCTTAGCTAGACTGACACCTTGTTTTTCACCCCTTTAAATATATTATTATTGTTATTTTTTCCCTTCAAATTTTTAATTAATTCTACTAGGTGCTTCTAATGGTTTTTATTTCTTTGATCTTCCCACCCTGCATATAATATATAAATGGCATAAAATCAAGTGCACTTCTCTCAAGTACAAGAGAGACAGAAATTGGAGGATATTTCAACATTTCAGACTGAACGCATTCTGAAATCAATAATTACAATCTATATCTGAATCCTAATACCTTTGCATATCATAAACCCTGATGTTTGCGTTGTTAACTTCTCTAATCACATCTCCAACTGCTAGTTTGGTCCATGAATCATTGACAGCCACCATGGGATATACACGTACAAGTTCCTTGAAAGTTGTCATTGAACTTTGGAAGCATGCCTTCCGCATGACTGAGTTGCTAGGATCTATAGTCTGTAAAATGAAGTTGACCACCTGCAGATCTGACGCACTGTCACAAAAATTCATGCTTCAATGTTTCAAAACAAATAAGCAGTATGAATTTAAATCTAATGGGGAAGACAGAAATACTAGAAAATCATATGTTTCAGTACGAACAGATGATAGCCTCTCAAAATACAAGAATCAGTCTGCTCCCAACCGTCAGGAATAGAAAAAGAACAGAAATAAGTAATGAAAGAGATAAGAATAGGAAATTCATTATAAGAAAGTACACAAAATAAAAATGAAACAAATGCATATCTAAAATGAAGAACTGAAAGATACTGATAAGGTTCAGTTTGCACAGCATAAATACCAAATAGTTCAAGCTGTCAACATTAGTATATAAGTAAGAAAACTACAACAAAGGTTTTTCCCGCTAGTGAGATTAGTTACATGGATAAAAGGATACCCTGATGTTTTGTCTCAAATCATGCCTGTTTGTTAACCTTTAAACCTTTCTTGATCATACTTGAAAAGAGAATGAATTTTATTATAATCATTCATATCTATTACATTCTCCTTACACCTATTTGTAACAATCTAATCTTCCAAAAAAGAAAAATAAGAAAACAATATACTAAAAAACAATCTAAAAGATTCTACATATATTTTCTCTAATTAGGAAGATTTTACAGATATTGTTTCTAATTGAGAAGATTTTCCTCTAATTACAACAATCATTTTGCCTATAACTTTTTCAGCCTCCCTTTACCACAGCAACAAACACATCTGATATCACAACAGAAAAAATATTTTATTTTCTAAAAATAAAATTCACATTTAAATAATAAAGTATCATTGTTGAAAAGCAAATGCTCCTTGGATATAATTCTCTCCAAACAATAGTCATTCACCAAAAGGAATATATGCTAAAATGTTTAATTTCAAGGATTCACGTCTAGAAAACAGAAATTGAAAAATAATAAGATAAGAATAGAAATAGACTAAACGACTTTTGGTCCCTACAGATATGTAAAGATCCAACTTTTGGTCCCAATAAAAATTTAATTGCACATTTAGTCCACTAATTTTTCCAAATCATGCAATTTTGCTCCACCATTGAATTCAATTGCTAACAGAAAATACTACTGGTGTGTCCAATTATGATAACATTGTTAGCTATTTATTCATGCATAATATTAATAGCAAGGTTTAACACCTAATATTAGGAACAGAAACATTAGCATTTTTTATTAGCGATTGGATGACATATTAGAAAAGGATCAGAATTAGTTAATTTTGATAACTAAAGGACCAAATGTGCAATTAAATTTGTAGAGTCCAAAATTGTAAAGTCACAACTTTGAGGATCAAAGGTGGATTGAAGCCAAAAAAATTAAAAGTGTAAATTAAGTCTTGAGGTAGATACCTAACCAAAAACATGAGGTGAAGTGAAAAATCAAACTAGAATTAGACGCAGTAAGATGAATCTACCAGAAAGATTAATAAAAATAAGGCTAGTGTTAGCAACAAGTGTTTTCACAAACCTTGTCAAGGTATTGAGCCAAATTCTTTGGAGAACCACGCATGATCCTTATGAGAGTCAACAAGGACACCATGTGGACGGGTGAATCAGATGCAGTAGACCAAATTTGGCTTTCAATCACAGCCAAAAAGCCTGTTATATCAGCCATAGCCAAACTTGGAAGAAGAACCTCCACCAATGTCTTTTTAATAGAAAAAGATGCATCCGATATTTCTTTCACTGACTTGGAAGATGGGCCACTCAACTCTACTTGGAAAAAAATATCCCCAATCAGACGAGGAATCTCAGAGACAATGCATTCTTTCCATGTACTTTCCATGCCCTCTGCAAGGAGCTCAGCAGCAGTGGAGCTATACTTCTCGTTCATAGCCATAGCCAACTTCATTAATGGATGAACAACAAGCCTGGAAAGACTTGGCTTTACAAGACTAGGATACCAGATAGCCAGTGCACCAGCAACAATAATGTGAGATGTCATTGCATCCTGACTAGTTCCACCAACACAAGAAATCCAATCTTGCACTTCAAATGATTCTAGCCAAGCAAGTATCTTGGATTCCTCATCTTGGGAAACTCCTTGTTTTTCTACCTTAGGAGATATACTCTCTTCCCGCTTGTTTCCTAGGTTATGCCTGTCTCGACTTCCAGTATGGAAACTCATATCGTTTGACTCAGTAGGTTTCAAATTGCATAGAGGTAGAGGAATAACATGAGAGGCAGCACAATGAAATATAGAGCGTGCAGCCATACGCACATGTTCACTTTCATCTTGCCAAAAAGCCACCAAGAGCTGCAAAAAGAGGAGATAGCCTTCAGAAGTTGAAATCAAGTAATAAGGAAGTTTTTCAATACCACAGGGCATGGGCACAGTCCACCGCCCATAATATGACAAACTACAAAAAATATTAATCAAGTATTGGAATTGATCATTCCAGTAAGATCATGGAACAAAAATACAAATAAAAAATAGCTTTCATAAAATGTTATGCTGCAACTAAGAGAATAGACTAAACTGCCAGATTTTAAGCTACCTCAAAAACACAAGAAACATGGACAAAGCTGGCCTAAATTGAGTCTGTTTCTTAAGTGAGAAAGTAAGGGAGTATCCACCCTCAATGAATTAAAAGTGCATATTATTAATCAACCCACTAATTTTTAATGCAGCTAAAACCTTCAGAAAACAAACTCCCTTTAGAGCAGCTTATTCTAGGAAACACACAATGGACAGCATTCAATGGCCAATTAGGTATTTGAAACCAAAATTTTTCCTCAAAAAGGAAATTTAAGAAAAACAAGAAACAGGAACAATCAAACAACAAAGGCAAAACAATTGAGGGTTTTCTCCTTGCTATAATCCATTTCCTTCAACTGCCTCCTATTTTTTTAGGGAAAATTGCAGCATAATGATGCAGTTTTTATTGGAAGTGGAGGAGGAGAGGATTGTAACTTGTGTTCCAGCCATTTGTATCCTCAAAAGTACCTAACGTATGTGGTACTACTTCTGAAATACTCGTGCCTCACAACTAGGTCTATTACAAAATTGAACTGAACCACATTAGTACTGAATTGAACTGAATTACAATTGTTCTGAAAAAAGCTGAACTATTATTTTAGTTTACTTTTTAAAAAAAAAAAAAACTGATTTACTTCTAAATCGAACTGCTTGAGCTACACTGAATTGTAACTCTTTTCCTCTTTGAGAAATGAATTTACAAGATACATTTCTGAATATGTGCAGCTCTACACCAGAAAGATTGACTTAAAAGAATGTAAAATGAAGAAAATAGCAATAACAGATATTGTGAAAGAAATAAAAGATAAGATTCTAAAACAGAACAACTGCAAAGGATTCACAAGAATTTAAAAGGAATAGGAAAGAAAGAGAAAGGTAGAAAGGAGGATATCAGTATTGAAAATGTAGAATACAAGAGGAAGAATCCTTGGCACTCCCTCCTCCCACTGAAAATCTTAGTTTTGATTATTTACCAAAAAGATACATTCCTATTACAATTTACCTAATTTAACTATGTAAACTCCTCACTGCCCTTGAAACCACCTAAACCTAACCACTAGTCTCCTATTATTTTTTTTCTTCTGGAATATCCCTCCAAATCTTATTCTTTTATTGAGAGTTGGCTCATGTCTAATGCAGTGTGATGCGTCGTAAGTTATCATATATTCTTCACAAGCTCACAACACAAATAATATAGGACATGCATAAAATCAATTGCAAATAAAATTATAAAGCTACAAAAGCACGTTTACATATTACAACCTGTAATGAAGGTGGCTTCACATCTGGAAAATTTTCCAAGAAATTCCGAGTATAAAAGGCTGCTAAAGCACTGCATACATATGATACTATCAATCATCAGCACATTTTTTCAAACTGAGTGCATTTTTAGAAAATAATTTAAGACTAATTGTTTAATAAATTAAAGAATTCGGCTTTAAAAAGGTGTTACTACATTCTAAACTGAACAAAAATACCACTACCCAAACAGTAAAAGTAAAATTAGTAAGAGGGCAAAAATATAACATAATAGGGACAGAATCTTTGCAAGCATCATGAAAAACTGTCAGAAAAACTGTTTTTGACAGTATTCATAGAGAAGCAATTGCTATTAAATAGAATACATAGACATAATAACTAAAAATCCTAATTTATGATGGATATAATGTATCCCTCCCTACAATTCTGAATCAACGATCTTGTACAATAAATATAAAATATATTGTCAGCCTATTAATCCTCCTAATTATCAAATGAAATTAAGTCAGCTAATGATGTAATTAAAATTGTACAAGGAAATATTAACTGCAACATAGATCAAGGGATTCTGACACTCCCCCTCAAGTTGGTGAGTGGATGTCATCCATTCCCAACTTGCCAATAATAGACTAAAATGAATGACCGGTTAGGACTAGCCTCAATAGAAGGTGAAGTATTAGGACTAGACTCAATAGATGGTGAAGTATTAGACTCAATAGATGATAGAGTATTAATGAGACTTAATTTTTGGGAAAATGAGGTTTTCTGTCAAGATTGAATTATACTTATACTTGAGAATTAAACTGTAAAATAATTCAGAGGGCTTTATTGATCCCTCTCATAACCTTCTATTTATAAAAATAAATTGATAAAGAGTACATGATAATTAGGGTAACCTTAGACACAATATAATCATGATAAATAAGGTAACCTAGACACAATATAATCATGATAAATAGAGTAACCCTAGACACAATATAATCATGATAAATACGGTAACCTTAGACATAATATAATAATGATAAATAGGTAAATATTCTAACACTCCCCTCAAGCTAGAGCATACAGATTGTATGTGCCAAGCTTGAAATAAATAAACTCAATCCAACAAAATCAACTTGTCTAAAATGTCGAGACAATAGACATGGTAACTTTGGCTTCGAACAAGATGCACATATGCTTCAGATCATCAAGAGAGAATATCGTAACCAAAGAGACTGCTCATAAGCTTATGGAGAATAATATTGGACAACCACAAAANACTAATTTTTCCAAATCATGCAATTTTGCTCCACCATTGAATTCAATTGCTAACAGAAAATACTACTGGTGTGTCCAATTATGATAACATTGTTAGCTATTTATTCATGCATAATATTAATAGCAAGGTTTAACACCTAATATTAGGAACAGAAACATTAGCATTTTTTATTAGCGATTGGATGACATATTAGAAAAGGATCAGAATTAGTTAATTTTGATAACTAAAGGACCAAATGTGCAATTAAATTTGTAGAGTCCAAAATTGTAAAGTCACAACTTTGAGGATCAAAGGTGGATTGAAGCCAAAAAAATTAAAAGTGTAAATTAAGTCTTGAGGTAGATACCTAACCAAAAACATGAGGTGAAGTGAAAAATCAAACTAGAATTAGACGCAGTAAGATGAATCTACCAGAAAGATTAATAAAAATAAGGCTAGTGTTAGCAACAAGTGTTTTCACAAACCTTGTCAAGGTATTGAGCCAAATTCTTTGGAGAACCACGCATGATCCTTATGAGAGTCAACAAGGACACCATGTGGACGGGTGAATCAGATGCAGTAGACCAAATTTGGCTTTCAATCACAGCCAAAAAGCCTGTTATATCAGCCATAGCCAAACTTGGAAGAAGAACCTCCACCAATGTCTTTTTAATAGAAAAAGATGCATCCGATATTTCTTTCACTGACTTGGAAGATGGGCCACTCAACTCTACTTGGAAAAAAATATCCCCAATCAGACGAGGAATCTCAGAGACAATGCATTCTTTCCATGTACTTTCCATGCCCTCTGCAAGGAGCTCAGCAGCAGTGGAGCTATACTTCTCGTTCATAGCCATAGCCAACTTCATTAATGGATGAACAACAAGCCTGGAAAGACTTGGCTTTACAAGACTAGGATACCAGATAGCCAGTGCACCAGCAACAATAATGTGAGATGTCATTGCATCCTGACTAGTTCCACCAACACAAGAAATCCAATCTTGCACTTCAAATGATTCTAGCCAAGCAAGTATCTTGGATTCCTCATCTTGGGAAACTCCTTGTTTTTCTACCTTAGGAGATATACTCTCTTCCCGCTTGTTTCCTAGGTTATGCCTGTCTCGACTTCCAGTATGGAAACTCATATCGTTTGACTCAGTAGGTTTCAAATTGCATAGAGGTAGAGGAATAACATGAGAGGCAGCACAATGAAATATAGAGCGTGCAGCCATACGCACATGTTCACTTTCATCTTGCCAAAAAGCCACCAAGAGCTGCAAAAAGAGGAGATAGCCTTCAGAAGTTGAAATCAAGTAATAAGGAAGTTTTTCAATACCACAGGGCATGGGCACAGTCCACCGCCCATAATATGACAAACTACAAAAAATATTAATCAAGTATTGGAATTGATCATTCCAGTAAGATCATGGAACAAAAATACAAATAAAAAATAGCTTTCATAAAATGTTATGCTGCAACTAAGAGAATAGACTAAACTGCCAGATTTTAAGCTACCTCAAAAACACAAGAAACATGGACAAAGCTGGCCTAAATTGAGTCTGTTTCTTAAGTGAGAAAGTAAGGGAGTATCCACCCTCAATGAATTAAAAGTGCATATTATTAATCAACCCACTAATTTTTAATGCAGCTAAAACCTTCAGAAAACAAACTCCCTTTAGAGCAGCTTATTCTAGGAAACACACAATGGACAGCATTCAATGGCCAATTAGGTATTTGAAACCAAAATTTTTCCTCAAAAAGGAAATTTAAGAAAAACAAGAAACAGGAACAATCAAACAACAAAGGCAAAACAATTGAGGGTTTTCTCCTTGCTATAATCCATTTCCTTCAACTGCCTCCTATTTTTTTAGGGAAAATTGCAGCATAATGATGCAGTTTTTATTGGAAGTGGAGGAGGAGAGGATTGTAACTTGTGTTCCAGCCATTTGTATCCTCAAAAGTACCTAACGTATGTGGTACTACTTCTGAAATACTCGTGCCTCACAACTAGGTCTATTACAAAATTGAACTGAACCACATTAGTACTGAATTGAACTGAATTACAATTGTTCTGAAAAAAGCTGAACTATTATTTTAGTTTACTTTTTAAAAAAAAAAAAAACTGATTTACTTCTAAATCGAACTGCTTGAGCTACACTGAATTGTAACTCTTTTCCTCTTTGAGAAATGAATTTACAAGATACATTTCTGAATATGTGCAGCTCTACACCAGAAAGATTGACTTAAAAGAATGTAAAATGAAGAAAATAGCAATAACAGATATTGTGAAAGAAATAAAAGATAAGATTCTAAAACAGAACAACTGCAAAGGATTCACAAGAATTTAAAAGGAATAGGAAAGAAAGAGAAAGGTAGAAAGGAGGATATCAGTATTGAAAATGTAGAATACAAGAGGAAGAATCCTTGGCACTCCCTCCTCCCACTGAAAATCTTAGTTTTGATTATTTACCAAAAAGATACATTCCTATTACAATTTACCTAATTTAACTATGTAAACTCCTCACTGCCCTTGAAACCACCTAAACCTAACCACTAGTCTCCTATTATTTTTTTTCTTCTGGAATATCCCTCCAAATCTTATTCTTTTATTGAGAGTTGGCTCATGTCTAATGCAGTGTGATGCGTCGTAAGTTATCATATATTCTTCACAAGCTCACAACACAAATAATATAGGACATGCATAAAATCAATTGCAAATAAAATTATAAAGCTACAAAAGCACGTTTACATATTACAACCTGTAATGAAGGTGGCTTCACATCTGGAAAATTTTCCAAGAAATTCCGAGTATAAAAGGCTGCTAAAGCACTGCATACATATGATACTATCAATCATCAGCACATTTTTTCAAACTGAGTGCATTTTTAGAAAATAATTTAAGACTAATTGTTTAATAAATTAAAGAATTCGGCTTTAAAAAGGTGTTACTACATTCTAAACTGAACAAAAATACCACTACCCAAACAGTAAAAGTAAAATTAGTAAGAGGGCAAAAATATAACATAATAGGGACAGAATCTTTGCAAGCATCATGAAAAACTGTCAGAAAAACTGTTTTTGACAGTATTCATAGAGAAGCAATTGCTATTAAATAGAATACATAGACATAATAACTAAAAATCCTAATTTATGATGGATATAATGTATCCCTCCCTACAATTCTGAATCAACGATCTTGTACAATAAATATAAAATATATTGTCAGCCTATTAATCCTCCTAATTATCAAATGAAATTAAGTCAGCTAATGATGTAATTAAAATTGTACAAGGAAATATTAACTGCAACATAGATCAAGGGATTCTGACACTCCCCCTCAAGTTGGTGAGTGGATGTCATCCATTCCCAACTTGCCAATAATAGACTAAAATGAATGACCGGTTAGGACTAGCCTCAATAGAAGGTGAAGTATTAGGACTAGACTCAATAGATGGTGAAGTATTAGACTCAATAGATGATAGAGTATTAATGAGACTTAATTTTTGGGAAAATGAGGTTTTCTGTCAAGATTGAATTATACTTATACTTGAGAATTAAACTGTAAAATAATTCAGAGGGCTTTATTGATCCCTCTCATAACCTTCTATTTATAAAAATAAATTGATAAAGAGTACATGATAATTAGGGTAACCTTAGACACAATATAATCATGATAAATAAGGTAACCTAGACACAATATAATCATGATAAATAGAGTAACCCTAGACACAATATAATCATGATAAATACGGTAACCTTAGACATAATATAATAATGATAAATAGGTAAATATTCTAACACTCCCCTCAAGCTAGAGCATACAGATTGTATGTGCCAAGCTTGAAATAAATAAACTCAATCCAACAAAATCAACTTGTCTAAAATGTCGAGACAATAGACATGGTAACTTTGGCTTCGAACAAGATGCACATATGCTTCAGATCATCAAGAGAGAATATCGTAACCAAAGAGACTGCTCATAAGCTTATGGAGAATAATATTGGACAACCACAAAACTTCATCTAACACCATGAACCTTCGAGTAGGGTGACTTTGATAAAGTTGATTTCCATCAAAAGTGAATGTTGAGTGGCAGACAACGACAAACTGCAGAGACTGGATTGTCATCAAATAAGGATGGGGCCTGCATGGCTAAAAGTGAAAAAAATGCAAGGACTGCTATCTCTAACTAGTTAGGGCTTGCAGTGGCTGTAAGCGACAAAACTACAGGACTGCCATCTCTGACTAATTGGGGCCTGCAGTGGCTGAAAGCAGAACTGTCATCTCTGACTAGTTGGGGCCTTTGACTAGTGTCTAACTAGTGGCTGGAAACATACTCTCCCTTACTGCAGGGACTAAATTGCCATTACTGACTGATGGGGCCTGCAGGGACTAAATTGTTATCACTAACTGATAGAGCCTGCAGGGACTAAATTGTAATCAAGTAAGGATGGGGCCTGCAATGAACAAAAACATACTGCAGGGACTAAACTGCCATCATTGACTGATGGGGAATAAAAAAAAAAAAAACAAAAACCCCTCACGGCGAAAGACGGAAACTGTGAAGGTGGAATGTCATAATGGTCTCCTTTATTCATCAAAGCACCACTAGGAACCCTGGTTGGATTGTGTTCAGAACTGTAAGGATGACAGATTCGAGGAACAAAGATTGAGACTTATGATGACATTAAAGACCAAAGATAGGTTGGAGGTCCAAAGGTTTTGTGCTGGACTACTCCCAAATGGTGATACTTAACACTGTATCACAAGAACTAAGGGCTAAACAAACTAGACTCGGGCCCAAGGAGAAAGTGACCAATAACGATTGAAAGTGACGAAGTGGCATCAAGAGCGGTCTGCTGACTTTGAAATCAGGAACCAAGGACGTGTATGGACTCAACATGATTCGATGAGTCAAACAATGATGAAACAGAGATCTGAAGGACTTAGAGTTCCAAAACAACCAAAGGAGAAAACCCTAGGTCTGAGTTACAACCACCAAAACTAAGAAACAAGGACCAAAATGCACTCAGGAGGCTCCAGCGAGACGAATGGCAGTGTCACATTGTAATTTCAACACCAGAAAGGTGGCGCGTGACAAACACACGCTGGAAGCTGATCGTAGAGAAGTCGTGCGTGACGTTGCATGTGGAGGAGAATGGGGCAACGACAACCAGGGATGGGTCGTGCTCCTCGATGCGCACAAAACCCCTAACTTTGCCAGAGAAAACAAGACAGCAGCGGCGACGGAGGTTGAACAAATGTGGCGCACGTGGCAGTGCTTGGATGAGAACTAGCCCTTGACACAGGCAGGGTTGACCATGGCTCAAGGAGGCAATCTAGATCCATTGGTCGCCAGACTAAATTGTGGCGATGGTCGGTGGCGGGCATTAGCGGACGACGTCGGAATGACAGGACACAGAGGTTGATGGTGACAAACTTATGTGGACAGCTCCTCACAGTGGAAAAATAGTGCCAACGGTAAATGGCACCAGACAACGACAAACGGCACCAGACAACGACAAACAGTGCCGGACAATTGCGGACAACAACTAGGGTTTGGAGACTAGATAGAAACCAGAACAGGACTGCTCATTGAGGTATTTAAGAAAAGATGAAATTTTTAAGGCCGCCGGTGGCAGCTGCCACGGGCCACCGGCGACAAAGGTAGAAAAGATTCAGACAACCTGCTGTGATACCAACTTGAGAATTAAACTGTAAAATAATTCTAGAGGGCTTGATTGATCCCTCTCATAATCTTCTATTTATAAAAATAAATTGATACAAGAGTACATGATAATTAGGGTAACCCTAGACACAATATAATCGTAATAATTAGGGTAACTCTAGACACAATATAATCATGATAAATAGAGTAACCCTAGACACAATATAATCATGATAAATAGGGTAACCCTAAACATAATATAATAATGATAAATAGGTAAATATTCTAACACTTATCTTCAATGCATGATCTTTCCCCCTGAAGATAAGGTTGAAAATATAGTGTATTTTCATCAAAGGTGACATCACAACACAAGAATTGTCTTGTTGGAGGGATTTGTATGCCTTTTGGTAGGTAAGTAACCAATAAATATGCACTTAATAGCTCAAGGATCAAGCTTTCCCCTAAGATTAGGATGAACATGGACAGAGGATATATAACCAAAGACTCGAGCTACAAGATGATTTGTTATCCTAAAGTCTGGAGGAAATTTAGAGAGTTGTTGAATAAGACTACTATTATTTAGCTTTTCCGAGGATATTACACACTTGTACTTTACAAATTCATGAGTATCACAATGAAACATTTGTTTGTCAACTTTTTAAAATAAATTAGGAAACATAATTTGTAGGGTACTGAATGATGGATGAGCTAATCAAAAGGGGTCCAACCAAATTCTTTTCTATATTGAACAGGGTCTATAAGATATAAACCTAGTAGATAACTGAGTCATGTGGTCTATGGCACAAGAATCAACTACCCAAACAACTTCTTTAGAGGAATTTAAGGCATTGAGTGTATAGGAATAAAGAATATGACATTCGAATGCTAAGGAGCAATTACCTGAGTCTGCAGGTTTTGTTATTGTGTCCAGCAACCCCCTTAATTTTACAATCTCCTTTGTGCTGAACTTTGTGGTGGGTCGAGTTTTCTGTGTATCGGACATCTTTTAGGTTTGAACTATGGTAATGCAGGCCTAGAATGAATACATTGGAATAAAGAAAGGTTTGTGCTATTGCAGCAATGCATGCTACGCAGGTGAATACAGCGGAAGAAAGAAAGGAATGTTGTTTTGCAGCAATGCAGGCTGCACAAGAGATTACACAGGCTCCCAAGGATTTTAGAGCATTGAGACCATGTCAGAAAAATTGTTTCGTATGTTATTCATAGAGGAGCAATTGCTCTCAAATAGAATACATAGACATAACTGAAAATCTTAAGTTATGATGATGGATATAGTCTATCCCTATAATTCAAGATCAATGATCTTGTATAATAAATATAAAATATATTGTTAAACCTATTAATCATCCTAATTGTGAAAACTAATTAAATCTCCTAATTATGTAATTAAAATTGTTCAAGGAAATGTTAACTGCAGCACAAAATTAAGGGATTTTGACCAAAACCAGCCATGGAAAACCTACTACTATTTATCCTACACCTGATGAATACTTTTTCTATTCAGAATTTTACAAAAATGTCAAACTTGTCTTGCTTATTGACCAGTTCGACTGCAGCCAACGTAGGATCCAAAATATCTTGTTGGCCATGGTAGTCGGGGGCACATCTTTTATCTTTTATTATTTTCATCATTTTTCTATTCATGAAAAAATATGTATATGTTGCAAGAAAAACTTCAAGGAGCTGCAGGTTTCAAAAAATAACAAGAATCCACCTATAACATGACATCCATAGCACATGGAACTGCATAAGTAAATGGATGGTTTTTCCAGTTTGCGAAGAAAAGAACATCAAATAGAACTTTGAAACTTTGTAGCATTTAAAAAAGCATCTCGTGGTTTATAAAATTTAAATTTAAAGTACGTTTCTAAGATAAGTTAAGTTTAGGGAAAAAAAGAGGGTTCCGAGAAAAAAAAATTATAAAAAGCTGTGATTAAAAGATTTTCATATAAAAGCAAAAAGATTTAAGAGTACAAATAACTGGATTTGTTTTTTCTTTTCTATTAATGTAATTGTCACTATACCTGCTGGCTGCCGAACCAGAGTGAGACAAGCTAATCAAACGTTGGGCAAGGGACACCATTGTCAACGATCTCATTGCACAAAACTCGGATGATGATTTCCAGAGCTGAAACATGGTTTTTAATGTCTCAGGAACCGTTGGAAACAGAGATAAAAGAAATAAGTCCCAACGTACTGTCCAAAATATTACCTCAAGATTAGCACTCTGAGTAGGAAATGTCAATGTCAATGATCCTTTATCCCCCTGCAGACCAGAAGCTACGATGAAGTTTTCTGGTCTCATCAGCTTCATGTCACTTATCAACAAATTATCAAGCTCTATGTCTACACTCCAAGAATGTAGATATGACAAGCTATATCGAAGTAAGTATTCTTCAAAAAGGTTAACCAAGTCATGCCCCTCTAAAGTTTCTGCATTATGGTAGCTGGGATTTTGCTCCTGGACTCCCTGCTGCTTCAAATTGATATTGACTGGCTTGCCACCACCATTTTCAATGGACTCATTCTTTTGAAATAAGAACATCAAGGATGCAAGATCAAAACACAGAGACACTATCCCTGGGAAAGGGCAAGCGCATTTGATAGGAAGCTTGCTACTCAAAAGACCAATTTGAGAGGATGAATGTGGCTTCACTGAAATTTCTTTACCTGCATTTGTTTTGGAAGAATTCAGCTCAGTCATATTTGAAATATTTGGTGACGACCTTGATGAAGTAAGCAAGTTGTCTGAACGATTTAAGGGGGAGTTAGAGAACCTTGCATCATCAACTATCGGAAGGAGTAAGGAAGAGACTGATGTGTTTCCATTCAGCAATGTGCCAGATACGGAATTCTTGCTGATGCTTTTACAAAAATTATCAAACATTGAATGTGCAGCTGTCCCAAGTAGGACTCGCTCACGTGAACCTGTCTTTACATCCCAAATGTATAATACATCAGTAGCATCAGAAGTTCCGTAATGTGTTTGACAGAGACAGGAAATATAACCTCTTGCTCCATCCCATAAAACTTTAGAAGGATAGTTCATATGTCCAGGAAAGATTCTCTCCACTCGCAGAGTCTCTAGAGAAACAAGAGCAACACATGCATCCTCTCCTACTGAAAGGAAACAATTACTCCAAGGATGCACAGTCAAAGATGGAGCAAGAATAATTTGACGGACAGGAGCCACATGATGATGCATTACCATGATAAGACTGCCAGTGTCAAGATCCCATATTCGAATCGTGCAATCCATACTTCCAGACACCAAAACCTGCTTAAAATTCCAGCTTTTGGCACTACCCATCATTTGATGTGCTGCCAAACAAAGTACAGCACCTGTATGTCCTGAGAAAAACTGTTTGCAAGCAGTTGGCTTTTCATCAGGATTGGAACTTGCATCATCCAAGCAAATCCCTTGAAACAAATCAAACCTTACAACCTCTATTTCTCCACTTAAAAAACCGTATACAACAGCATAAGGAGTAAAGAGGTTCTCGGAGATGATCATGGAGGAAGAAACGACCTTCCCTTTGTAAGCATAACAATTAGTTCCAGTACCAGCTTGTTTGTTGTCTACAATATCAGAACTTGGACTCACACCAAAAGTAGAAGTAGTCTCAAGTACATCGAGTCCCTTGAGCTGAGTCGATTTCTCAAACCAGCCAGTGAAAGATACACCATCACCGACCATTCTGCATTGACGATACAATCTACCAGGTTCATCACTAAAATCATGCAATGACCACATTGTGGCAAGTGGTCTCCATAGTAAAGGGTCCTCGTAATTATAGCAAATTGACTTGATGCATACAAGATATTGACTTACTTGTTGAAAAAAAACAGATAATCTCATATCAGGTTGAAAACGAGTACCAGGAATCTCAAAAAGAGGTTAACATTGGAAAACATCATTCTGATACAATACATTATATATAACTGCATAACCTACATTATTCCACACAACAAATCGTACTGTAATCGAGTTTCCATATTCGTTGCCGTTGCACACATTCTCCACATCATCATTCTCAAGAAAAATGCCACCAACAGCATGTGTTTGAATAGAACCCTGATCCAAACTGAATAAGCTATCCACAAAAGAAACTTCTCCAATCACACTATGATTCAGTAACCTGAAGACACACCGATCTTCCAATATTGAAGCAACAACATTCCCATAGGTTAAAACCGAAACAATCTGCTCCACACTACTCAATTCCTCGTCGAAAAAAGAGGTCTCCAATTGACCTTTATCACCAAGTGAACCCGCCAAGCTCTCCCCTCGATCCTCTGATATCGGAACCATCTGCTGCCTCCCAGCCGAATCAGCCACAAACACAGAGTTTCTCTTCTCGTCATCACCCAACACCAGTGCCATAAACTTAATTGGACCAATGGATAGACTTCCATGAAACACAGTTTGAGTAATGGAAAGCGAATAGGAGTCCACAATAAGAACAGTGCATTTAGGAGGCTTCCTAGGCTGAGTTTCTCTATCAATTAATCCTTCATTCCCCTCTAAAGAACACGCTATACACACATATCTCGGTGTCGAAGGCAAGGTTCTAATTAAACGAGGAGTGCCAACCCAAGGCGGCAATTTCCTCCGGCACCGGCAATGACCACTGTTCTTGCTCCACACACACAGAAAACCATCACAGCACGCACTTATCAACGCACTGAACTTACTTGCACTCGAAGTATAACCGTTTCCTGCATCTGCAATTGGCCTGCATACAGCGAGATCGGTAACCGGTGCGCCGTGACCGCACAGCACGCCCACCGCCTTAACTTCCTGCAAAATCGACGCGGCTCTTAGCGATTGAAGGAGAAATAGTTGTTATAATTATTTGATAATTGGAAAGGAGAACAGAAAAATTGAAAATACCGGTGTGGAAGCGGAACTGGAGATGGTCCACCAGATGATGGAGCCATCCGATCCGGCTGTGTAAAAGGTTGGCGTCGGTGGTTCCGTCAAAGCGGCGACGGCGGTGACGCGGTGAGGAAACGGCGTGCCGGACCATATGCACGCCACCGATCTGCACTTCATCGATAATCGAATTTCTCACTTCATTGCTTTTTTTTGAATAACCGCTACACAGCGCATGTATGATTATTACTCTATCACTCCATTCGCGAGTTTTGGTTTTAAACGAAAAGGTTTGGTTTGGACACTTGATTTGAACTCTATTCGCTGTTGCTAGTTTGTAATTGTTAGATTCACGTTTTTTATTTCTCTAGAGTTAACACACAACACAGTTTATTTAATCCCCAAAGCAACCTATTTATTTTTTGGGTCTAAATTATATATGTCCTTGTTCCACTTTCATAGAATGTTTATTTATGGAAAGTTTAAAGTGGCGCATTTTTTAATTTTGTATTAACGCGTGTCCACATCTTTCCATTAATTTTCAATTTTTGGGATACATAGACTTTCAATTTGGACAAATTTGTTTCACCAAATCATACTACATTTTTAGAGATGATACTTTCAAAAGTATTAGTATGAAGAAGACGGTTATTCTGGATATATTTTAAAAGAATTGGTTTAAATTTTATTATTTCTAGAAATATTTTTCATCAATTAAAAACAAGACAAGGTTAATAATTTTTTTATGAATTCAGAAAAAGACAAGGTTAATATTAAGATTATTTAAAATGTTTGCTTTGATAGAATTTTTTATTGTTATACATTTTTCCAAGTTTAATAACTAAAAAACTAGTTTGTTTGATTTAGTTTGTAATTTTGTAATTGTCAGCGATTCAACGAGATTTTGTATATGATAAGAATAAGAATTAAATATCATTTATCTGTCACATACATCGNCACAGTTTATTTAATCCCCAAAGCAACCTATTTATTTTTTGGGTCTAAATTATATATGTCCTTGTTCCACTTTCATAGAATGTTTATTTATGGAAAGTTTAAAGTGGCGCATTTTTTAATTTTGTATTAACGCGTGTCCACATCTTTCCATTAATTTTCAATTTTTGGGATACATAGACTTTCAATTTGGACAAATTTGTTTCACCAAATCATACTACATTTTTAGAGATGATACTTTCAAAAGTATTAGTATGAAGAAGACGGTTATTCTGGATATATTTTAAAAGAATTGGTTTAAATTTTATTATTTCTAGAAATATTTTTCATCAATTAAAAACAAGACAAGGTTAATAATTTTTTTATGAATTCAGAAAAAGACAAGGTTAATATTAAGATTATTTAAAATGTTTGCTTTGATAGAATTTTTTATTGTTATACATTTTTCCAAGTTTAATAACTAAAAAACTAGTTTGTTTGATTTAGTTTGTAATTTTGTAATTGTCAGCGATTCAACGAGATTTTGTATATGATAAGAATAAGAATTAAATATCATTTATCTGTCACATACATCGTATTTGCAACGGGTGAATGTAAAATATTTAACTAGTATATTAAATCGTCACAATATGACTTATAGTTTGATGGTTGATTGTGTTACATTTTGGTGTGCATATTAGTTTTTCCCTTCTTTATGAAAATGATTCGTTTTGAATTTTAATACTGATAAAGCATGGGAACAAAAAGAAAAAAGAAAAAGATAAATAGTGATGATGCTTGCTGTCATGATAAACGAAGAGAGAAAATTAAGAGGAGAACAAAAAAATTGAAGATAAATATTTTAAAAACTACTTTTCATATTTCATTTTTATTCTTCATTTTTTTTATTGGTTAACGCTTAAACATAGAATAAGTTTTTATTTTGGTAATCGTTGATGTAAATATCATATAGTATAATAATTCGCAGATGTGTTGAAATATAAACACATTGTCACTCACTCTCTTTAGAAGAATGAAATCCTGAAAAAATGAACTGAAGGTACATTTACTCTGACTTTCCTCTGATTTTAAAGTTTCAATAATTACACACTCATAACAATTCACAAGTTTTAAAGCGCTGTTGATGTTAGTTTTTTCAAAGACCACATACAAATTACGATGTTTTAATCTTCATATAACATTATTCAAGATACTAACAGACTGCATGCTTATTACACTGTTTTAAACGTTTACATACATTTAAAATATTGCATTGCCTGGTGATATTTTTCTTTTGTTAGAGGTTGCCACACTCAGTATGGGATGCAAATAAAACAGATTAAAATAAGATTTCTGCAGTACCTGACGCCCTAATCCTTTATTTTAATCACAACATTAAAAACTTACATTTCAATTCATAAAAAAGCAAACCTGGTTCAAATTAATTCGATAGGATCCAACTTATGACATGTAAAAATCAATACAAATGATATATAAAACACAGGGAGCTAAAGTGTAAATTTCATTAGTAATGACTAAAATATAAAATGTAACTTTTTAAGCAAGGAGAAGTGAATTTAACCTAAATTAAACTTCCCGCGACGAAATAAGATATCCAGATTTCTCCTTACAATGTTTGAATTTGCATTGTACATTAAAAAAACTATGTGAAGGAAGAAAGAAAGAAACAAAGGAAAGGGGGTCAATCAGTTGCACAATGAAGTGCCCTGTTCCTTGCTACACAGCTTAGTTTCGTTACCAAGGAAAGAAGACGCTATGCTTTATATATATGCTGTGAATCGTGCCAGGCAACAGAACGATAAGCCTTTGAACTAAACGAAGAATGAAAGCCTCTATTGAGCTCATCGACCTTTGTATGGGTCGAAATGTTAATTCTTCCCACCCTGGATGCAAAAGGGTAGGATAGATTAGAACTCGGTAGTATATTTTAAAAAACATACGTAGCATATGATAGAATGAAAAGAAGGCAGCTAGCAAACTTCGCCAAAATTTTCAAGCCACAATTAATAGATGCTCAAGTAATTTAACAAAATCCATACTACTCTTTTCGCCTTTTATTCATCCTGTCTCACACTGATGGGCTTGCAAAAAGGTAAAAAGAAGGGAAAATCAACATTGGTGAACAACTAAACGAATTTTAATATCTACAAACATCACACTCCTTGAACACGTGAAGGAGGTATAAACCTCGTTAAGAGGAATTGCCCCCCTCACGACATAACACGGGCTCTGCACTAGAGGTCACTGTTTCACTTGACGCTCATGCCCCCAAATAGAACGTAACCTAGCCAGAAAATTGGTATAAAAGTCTAAGATAATTGTGAGCAGTGGTAAGGCTGCGAGACTTGGATCTTTTGGACAGGTTAAATCCACACTAATTGATTCAATGTACAATAACCAACTTAAGTAATACACATGGATCATAGTTGTTAATAGATAGACCTAGAAGTTATGATACAGTCACCTTCTTGATTAAAACTCGAGTTTGGGACATACTTACATTAGAACATACAAACAGCTATCCACATACATAAGCATAAATAGTAAATATTAATGAACAAGTGCATGTCTTAAAGTAATTTCAATCTTTATTACCTTATGAGGTGGAGTTCCCGGTCTTGATGTGTTGTTGCCAAATCCACCTTTCACTTTCTTTTCAGAAGATTTAAGTATTTGAAAAGAGCATGTCAAAGTGTCATCCACACTCATCATAGCACCAGCATTATCAAATTCACCACAGTAATTGGGGGCGGAGAATATAGTCACCAACTGACGCTTGGCAAAAAACTCATATCCATCCTCTACAACCTGAAACACAGCCCAAAATTTCAAAAGGGAAACATCAAACCAGATTCACCAATATTTCTATATACTGATTCACCAATTCGTTAAAAAGAATATAGACCGATGAGCCAAGTAAATGTCCAATAAATTAGAATAGACAGACAGAGAAACAATGCAATACAAGTATAATATTAACAAAAATCAGGATCATCAATCAAACACCATAGATAACAAGCTGTCAAAGTTGATGCTACAGAAAAGAAAGAGAAAACCCAACTGGTGCTAGAAAATTACGGATTAAAATATTAAACAAAATAATTATTATTGCAATACTCAATGCATGAGGTGAAAACACAAATTAATCACGTTCTCATGCATTCTGTCCCTAATTTTCCCTCTGATTCTCAGTCATAAAAAATAATGAATCTACTCAATGCATGTGATTATTCTTCATTAAACATTAACAATATGGGTAGTAAATTGCAAACGCATACATCATGCATGCCAAACTATAGAGAAATCGAAAGTATAGGTTTCATTACCTGATGAGCTCTGCAAATTAGGTCAAGATCATGCTGTTCAAGAAATTCAACAACCTTGTCAGCCCCAAATGTAAATGACACACCTCGATCATTTTCTCCCCACCCATCAAGATCTTTATCAGGATCAGCCCATAGAAGATCACAGAGAAGACCGTGATCTGGCACATCGATAGGACGAGCAAGATTCCGTATCTGATCCAAATGTTTAAGATCAGGTGATAGTCCACCATGCATGCAAAGAATCTTCTCATCTATCAGAGCAGCAACAGGTAGACAATTAAAGCATTCAGTAAATGTCTTCCAGATGCGAACATTAAATCTCCTCTTACACTCATCATAGAAACCATATATTCGGTTGATGGAGGCACACTCATGGTTACCCCTGAGAAGAAAGAAATTCTCCTTGAATTTGACCTTGTATGCAAGGAGTAAGCATATTGTCTCTATGCTTTGCTTACCACGATCAACATAATCTCCAAGAAATAAATAATTTGCTTCTGGAGGGTATCCCCCGTATTCAAACAGCCTTAAAAGGTCTGAGTATTGGCCATGAACATCTCCTGCAAATGAATCGTTTAACACAGATGCCATCTACTATTTAACATTTACAGATAACACAGTGGTCAAAAGCAAAGGAAGGCAACCTAAATGTTCTAGGGCTTTTACCACCTCAAACCAAAAGGTGCCAAAAAAGTAAAAAACTAAAGCAGCAAGGCATTAAAATTAGAAAAGAAAACAGTAAAATTTCAACCAATTTAACATAAATCAACTACTCAATCATGACAATACTACTTAAAACTGAAAAGATGTTCAAGTGCAAAGCACAATAATAAGTTGAAAACAGGCTCCAATGTCAAAATTTCAAAAACAAAAATAAATACAGCAGCCAACACCGCAACCCTAAAGTTTAAATTCATGACAAAGAAAGTTAGATGGGTAGGCTTAGGGAGTTGTCACAATTATTGGCCATTTAAACCAAGTACCATGGAAAAGTCATCAAGGCAAGCAACTTGGTCGAACCAGGAAAACATCACAAGGCAGCAGAAGCCTGACAGAAGGGGCACAATATCTACAACCCCAAAAGCCCATCAATCCCTTCTGTTTCCACCCTTGGTCCCCCTTATTGGTCCCTATCAAC